GGAAAGTTTTGGTTTGGTTTCGCTGATGCGGTTGATGCAGTGGCGGCAGTTGGTAGTGTAATGGGCGCATAAACCACGTAAAGCAACAGGTTCAACGGCCACAATGCATCTTCGCAATCTATTTGAACTTTAAATAAACTGTTTCAACGTTTTTATTTTTATTACTTTTGTGTTTTTATTTTTAGTGTTTTGATGAAAACCCCACGAATTCTTGAAGGAGCAGCAAAAAGGGCTGACAGCGGTGTTAATTACACTCACTTGAGCAATGAACTTTAAATCTGCCACTGCTTTTAACCAAAAACATTTTTATTTTTCAAATTTTACTATTGTACTGCAGTTTTTACTGCCTCTTGCCTGATTTTGTTGTGGTTTTTGCTGACAAAATGTATTTGTATTGTAAGTTTGTGGTTGTAAATTATTGCAACACACACTTCTTAAGCTATAATATCAACAAAGAAAAATGCTATATATAATATACAATAATATATATCAAATATGATTTGTATATGTAACAACTTTTCGCATAAGTATTTGAAAATTAGCTACTCGAACGTGTTGCCAATTCAATATAATTTGACTCCAAACTTTAGTTTAAATAGCTGAAGCAATCAAATGCAGCGCGGCCAATAGAAAAAAGTTGTATTTCAGCCTAAACTGAAACTTGCCAACTGCTTGAACATATTTGTTTTGGATAATGTGCACTTCGTTTATTTTCAGACAAGAGTAGCCTAACCCGATACTTTCACCTGCTCGCTCCGTCAATAGTTAATTGATAACTCTCTTAGTAAACCTTTTTATTATTAAGTGAATAGTTGAGTAAACTAAGAAACAATTAGCAAACCAATGACAAGGTTTTTGTATTTGGTTAGATCCACAGTTACTGTCATGTTTTAACCAGAAATTAGCATAAATTTAATGAAAATAATAATATGAGCAGCAATAATAACCAGGTAGGAGGAAAGAGAAGTGCTCAATAGAACTAGTACTAAAGTGAATACCCGATATATTAAAAGTATAAACTTAAATATAACTAACCCTAAAATTTATTTAATAAAATTTACTTTTTCCAAAAATAATGTTTAACAATTTAGTTAACACTTAAATATTTGAATATTATTTGAGATAAAATGTTTATTGAGAGCTTAAATATTAATGTTAAAGTTAAGTATGCTTCAACTGTCATGAAGTTATTTATAAGACTATCGTTTACGACAAATAATGATGACAGAGAGGGGTGCAGTAGTTACATAATACAAAAGTCACAAAATCTAAGTATGGACTTAGCTAAACCTTAATTACCTACCTATAGCACATACCTATTTAGAATTCAATATATTGAAAATGATTTTTAAAATTTAGTCAATAAACAAATTTGGTAAAATAAGATTAAAAAAATGAAAAAATATCAATTGAATAATAGCTGCACTCAAATTGACTCTGTTTTAGTAGATGTTTTACCAATAAATATTAAAATTCAAATAAAAGCTTATGGAAAAATTAATTTTTCATAAACACTCAAAAATTTTTGGATCGATTAAATTTCTAATAGAGATACTTTGTTACACAAAAATATTAGGAAGTGTTAATATTTAAATAAAGAACGTTTTATAACACTTTGTTATATGTTTCTATGGTAAATACATCCAGAAGCAATAAAGAGAATGAAAATATATTTGCTCAGTTTATATGAGAGTTGTAGGAGATAATCACTCGATTTTAGTAATTTCCACAAATTTTCAATATCCTTTCTTAAAAATATATCGAAAAATATATTTTTATATCAAAAAACGAAGATTAGTTTACAATAAAACACTGACAACCAAAACAACTTATATCGCCAGATCCATTTGTATAAACGAGTTTATAAAGAATATATATATTTTACTAGGGTAAACCTAAAATCATCTACTATTAGATTCTAAACACGTTAAGAAACCAATTTTTTTTTTGTTTATTATTTGTGATATAAGTACAAAAATATTTATGTGAAGTACGTATCTGTGTAAAATACCATTTTAACCACAGTCACATAGTCATGTATCGTAGCATTAATATATAATATGTAGTAGTTTCATCAAAAAATATGAGAGGACTAACAATATTATACTGTTTGAAGTGAAACATCATTTCAGAACTTTTTTTTGGTGAATTTAAGACTGAATGATTAACCTAATTAACCCTTCTGAAGAGGTCAATGCTCGCAATTTATATGTATTTTGTGCAACTTATTTTAAAGTCCTTTTTAGTGATTTGTTTGATAATGTTTAAACAGAAATGCTTAGTAATTGAGTTTCCGACTTTCCAGTACATCGACACCAATGTTGCTTCCCTTTGCGGCTGTCTGTTGTTACAAAAACACTTGAAGGGCATCTGGTTTAAACTTTTTCAACTTCATTTTAACTACAAAACGTTTTCCATTTATGTGCCATTAAAAATTGATTTTATACGACTACATACTTGGAACTGTTAGCAGCACAATGTCATCTATATATGTATTACTCTACATGTGAATACAATTATTTCTAAACACTATGGGAGAAACTATTTAAGATACAATTGATTTTTAAAATGTCATAAGACACTCCAAAAAAAAAAAAAAATAATAATAAATATTTTTGTAAAAAAAGTAAACATAAGTTTAACTAAAAAATTGAGGCATAAACTTATAATACTAATGCTTCAAATTCAAATTATTAATGCATTTGAAGTTATCAATGTTTTATAATTAATCTGTACAAATAAGGTGTCTATATTGAAATAATGGCGGACCCTTGATTACTTTACTAAAACTGATTATCAAATATAGTACATTGTGTTAAGAATTTTAACTAATCATTGGAGTTTATAAAGAAACTAAATATTTTATACTAAGTTAATTTAGAAGAATTGTTTCAATATTTATTTATGTCTCATTTCTATCTCATAATAATGATTTAGTAGAGAAATGATTTCAAAAATTTCCCTGATTTCTTATTTTAGAAGTCAATACAATTATTAGCTAGTAAGCCTCAAATTGATTTAAAAATTTTTTTCAATACGAAATGACTTCAGTTCGTTATAAACCAATTTAGTTCTGATACGGTATTCGCACTAGTACTGGACATTTTCAACAAAAATGCGTTCACACTACATTAGCGTGTTCAATGCGTTAGTATGTTTTCTAATTATTAAAATTACAAGATAAAAATTAAATTATAAAATTAAATTTTATGCTTTATGCTTTTATGCTTAGCGCTAACCAATTTTATAAATGCATTTTATTGAAAATTAAAAAAAAATAATACTTTTAGAGGTCAACATTCAAAAGTATGAAGCAATTTCTTTAAAGCAATCAAAATAATTTTAAATGTTATTATACACGAAGAGTGTAAAGGTTAGGTAGTGGTACTCTTGTGTGTGTGTGTGTGCATATGCATGCAGGCACTTATCCCAAAGTAGAATTAAGTTCATTACTCTAGTTGCTGAATTCATCACTAGAAGTCATCGTTAAAGTGCACACAAAACCACAATGAAAACATCACCAACGACGACAACAAAAGTAAGTATAATAATAAATATATTAATATTCACTTAAGGAGATTTGAGGCAATAGTGAAAGTTAGCTGCTGCATCAAAACCCAACAACAACACACAACAAGAGCATCAATTAAAACTGCTCCAACAAATGAGGCTCTTCACTGCCACTTAAGCCATTTTTATAAATGCAATCAACATTGCTACATTCGTGTGTTAACATACATAGGTATATACAAAAATGCAAACGAAACATGACTGCTCTAATTCAATTCTCAAGCTGATAAATTTTACAATGAGATTCGGTTTCCATTTCATTCCACATTTCATATACATATTAACATTGTCCCTACAATGAAATTGTTTGTCATGCAAATATCAACTGAGTTACCTTGCGGCAAAAGCACGGTAAATATTCTGCATACATTTAAGTTGTTGCAGTCACCGCTACTACGTTAGTAGTAGTTTGTGTTGCTTAGTGTCATATTTTGATATCACATTTAAGCATGGTTAGCACGAATTTCTGCAAAGCAAATGTTGCAGCATACATACATACTTATATATCCACAAATCAACTGAGAAAGAAAGAAACGATCACATGCACGTACACATAGTCAAATTTTGTTAACACTGTTATTTGTTGCCTGATTAAAAAATTTATTCAAATTTTTTTATTAAACTTTCGTCGGCATGAAAAATAAACATTGCGGCCTTCTAGAATTTATGTCTGAATTTTTGTTTGTTATGTAAAAGTGAAATGGGAAGCTTAACCGCGAAAATGAGGAAACAAAATCTCATACATTTTGACGCTAAATTCAATGCTTCTTAACCGTATTACTTTATAAATGTGTTTTTCTCACAACTTTTAGTCTACACTAAAGCCAGAAATAATAAATTTAAAGTAATAATAAAAGCATTCAAAACCAAAAGCAAGGTTTGACATTAGTATCTGCAGATACGGTTGTTATGAAAAAAGTTAAGTATCACGAATTTTCAGTTTATTAAAGAAAAAAAATAATATACTCTTATACAAATAGTATATACTATTTTCTTTTGCTACAACAAAAGCTTCCCTAATCTAAGCATACCAAATTAATAATAAATTGAAGATAAATTTAACTATTTTGAAGAATTGCAATAATATACAATATTTTATGTAAAAGTCATGAGCTCGTCAGCAGAGATACACAGGTTGGTATACTCTTAAAATGGAATTAAATTATATGATAGAAACTTAATACAATCAGTTAATATTATTTTATTGAAATAGCTGTACGATGTATCTTGTATCTGGGCTATACTCTTGTACTTATGTACTGTGTGTGTGATTGGAATATTTGTTTGCGTTGTGGGTGTGACAAACTTCAACGACATTCAACGGCAAATTTACCTTAAATACGCTTTTCATTTCGTTTTTACCTTTCATTTTCTTCGTATCTCTTTTTTTTTGCATATTTCAAATTACAGAATAAAAAAAAGATACTTACCTCTTAAATCCGTTAGCAGAATTAAAACCGAACAGAATGAACTGAAATCAAAAACAAAACAATTATAAAATTATTAATTATTAAGCAACAGTAAAAGGGATTAATAATATTAAAAATAATAATGAGAATAAAATTGCTGTGGACACATTTCTGATTAGGGAGTATTTATTTGGATAGTATAGGAATATGTAACTTTTTAAAAATTGTTGTATATGGAAAGTAAAAAAGTCAAGGAAGCGTTGAAATCATAGTATGAAATAACTCGCTTTAAAATATAAAAATTTCAAATACAAACACATATTTGAGGATCGGAGATAAAATTATTATAAACCCTTTGGTTCTTTTATAATTCATGTTGAGTGTTTTCGAGTTAGTGCATCTGGGTACTTTTACTCTTTGATGTCTGGAAGGTTTCTGCAGAGTCCCATCCTTCTAATTTAAGTATTTCTCAAAAACTTCGTGATTCTTCGATGACTGATCTAAGATCTGCGTACCGCCCAGTGCGACTAGTGACTAATCTAAGATTAGATAGTGCTAAGTAGGGCAGACTGTCGGTTTTCACGTATAGTTTTAGAACTTTAGCTAGGGTCTATTAACCTTGCTAATAAATAAAACTCTCAAAATTTATGATGTAAATAATCTTTTAATCAAACTTTTTACACGAGAGAAAAAATGGAAACGTTTTCCACAATCTCCAAATCGAAACTTTTTACACGAGAGAAAAATGGAAACGTTTTCCACAATCTCAAAATCGAAACTCCAAAATATTTAAAATTGAATTTTCCTTTTTAAATTCAATAAAAGCATAGCCTACTGGGTCGCCACAGTACCCCCCTCCTAGCGACGGAGTTCGGGCTACACATGAAGAGAAGTTACTCGCGGTAGTCACACAACTTCGCTGGGAAATGCACTGCTCGGCCAGAACGCGAAACCTTTGAAGAAACGGCCGACGGTTTAAGAACCTTCTTCTCGGATGCTTGTTTCCGCTCATGATTGACTACAGGAAGTGACGAAAACTGCTTGCCGGTAAGTTCATCGTTAGTCAAATAAGCTGGTTTTAATCTGTCTAACGCGACGGTGCACCTGCTCCCTCTTCTGTTAATTACGAAATATTTTTCATCTCGTTGAAGAACTTGAAACGGACCTTCATACGGCTGTTCCAATGGAGCTCTCACCCGATCGACACGCACGAACACAAACTTGCTGGTTAGGAGGTCATTCGGAACATAGACTGGGTGATGCCCATGTCTGCTGCCGTTGATTGTCTTCAGTTGAGCCAATGCATTACGAAGTGATGAAACGAAATCGGTTTCACCTGGCATTTCTGTGACAACAACTGTCCTGGAACACGTAACGGGTTTCCGTACAACATTTCAGCAGAACTGACGCCTAGATCTTCCTTTGGGGAAGTCCGTAACCTCAGCAGAATCAATGGGAGTGTGCGCGTCCAGTCATTAGAATTATGGCGTCGCAAAGCAGCCTTCAACGTCCTATGCATACGTTCAACCATCCCATTCGCTTGGGGGTGATATGCTGTGGTGTGAATATGCTTGATACCCAATAGTCTGGACAACTCTCGGAAGATCGTTGATTCAAACTGACGTCCTAAATCAGTCGTGATAATATGAGGAACACCATACTGTGCTACCCATCCTTCGATAAACGCGCCAGCAATGACTTCGGTCGTCATGTCTGAAACAGGAATCACCACGGGCCATCGTGAAAAACGATCGATGCACGTCACACAGTATCTTTTACCCTGCGACAGTGGTAGTGGTCCGATGATGTCCATATGCACATGTTGGAAACGCTCGTCAACACCTGCGAAACAGCCTATAGGTGACTTGGTGTGCCGGTTAACTTTAGACAATTGACATGCGATACAATTCTTAACAAACTCAGCTGCATCCTTTGCTAAACCTGGCCAGACAAAACCTGCTTGGATCAGTCTGCGTGTCGCTCTTACGCCTGGGTGCGCTAAGTTGTGTAGTTTTGTCATCACTAACTTACGACAACTGGCTGGAACAAACGGTCGCATAACACCTTTAGAAATGTCGCAAAAAACCTCAGTATTACTGATGGGTAACTTGTACGCCACGAGCTTCAAAGATGTATCGGCTTGATGATCCAGTAACGCGCGCAACTCGTCATCTGATCCTTGCGCTTTAGCAATCACGTCTACTTCCGCTGCCTCAAATTCAATTTGAGAAATACGCAAAATTCAATAAAAGCATAGCCTACTGGGTCGCCACAGAACTATGTCCCTTATTCATTTTTTGACCGGGTCTATTCTAAGGTTTCTTAGCATGTCATTCGTGCGGATGTACCATAGCACTTTAAAGAGTTTTCGGAGAGCCTGACTTGAGCAACTTGTAGTGGAATTAGAAATTAAAGGTGGTACAATATAATTTAATTTTAATAAGAAGCTAGAACCAGAATTGTTACTATACGATTTATAAAATATACAAACTCATAATAAGATGAAATATTTCAATTGTTTTTATTGTTATTGCTTTAAAAAATTATTAACATCATTTGCTGAAAGTAATCACATCAGATATGGAAAGTATCCTCACTGGTAAGTGAAATTATTTTGTTATTGATATACATATAATCTCTATTAAAACAGATTTGTTGCAGATCAATAATTAGCTTAAAATATTAAATTTTTAATTTAATTCATTCGCAACGAACAGAACACTTACTGTCTTCATAAACTTTTTAAATGGAAACTTCTATATTGCACAAGACAACATCGTTGTTATTACAAACTTTTGTTTTCAGCATATGCTTGGGTGTTTTCGTTCTATTCGAGCTTTATAATTAATGTTAGTAGAGAGACAATGTCAGTAATAAAATAATATTTGACGAATACAAATACCGTTAGGTTTAAAAATTTTTAAAGAAAACCTTAGTTTACATATTTTTAACGTAACATAACATAATGTGAATGACTGTAAAATTTGGGAAATTAAAATAGAAAACTTAATATATCCATTTAAATTGTATGTGGTGGTATGAAGAGATTTTGTGTAAAAATAAATTTACAATATATGTTTACAGTAGTACTGTTACGTTCATATAGTTGTTTAATTTATAAAATCTCTTGAAGGCTCGTATATTAATGTTACAATAATATAAGTTAAAAATGATAAATGAAGACTAATATTATTTATTAAAATGTACTTTCTTCTTCACTTTTATATTTTTATACACTATTAAAATATACATATGTTTTTGATGAAATAATTACTTCGCGCCTTTAGAATATGAATTGTAAATAATTTTTACTATGTACCTATACTTAACAAATGTAATTAAAATATTTAAAGATTTCTCTTCGTCACTTTTCTTTTAATTTTCGTAATTAAAAGAATATTTGTGTTAATGTTGTTTCCTTTGTTCTTACCATCGTTAATTATTCATTTATTTTGTGCTATAAATCTGTGATGTTATTTATTGGTAATTGGCACATTGACGATGACTATGTATGAATTATGAACATCGAGTGAAAGCAACTTTTTGTCGCAATTCACCAATCTCTACACCTCACACAAAGATTCATAAACAATCTGAAAGCATAAGATACCTGATGCAAACAATTAAATACGACAATATGAATTATGGAAATGGCGTTAAGAGAAGTAACAGTATTCAACAACGACATGTATAATTATAATTAAGATTTTATATATATAAACTTCGACTTCATTACTTAAGGTTAGATAATATTTAGGTTTTTTTATTTAATATCTGCCTTTTTTATTTAGATTTTTTTTATTTAATATCTGGCTTTTTTATTATATTTACAATTAAATCATGGTTAGAAAGGCGCTTAGAAGCAAATTTAAGCAGTCACGCACTATAAAAATCAGTAATCAAATGAAAAAGTCAAGAGTCATGCTTTTCTTTGTCTTTAGCTCATGTCTTTTAGCTAACAGAAAAAGGTGTGTTAATTTTATTCAAATGCCTCAAACGATCAGATCATTATTTATTTTAATAATTAATTTATATACTAAAAGTCACCTGCATCGTAGTCCACTTAATTTACATATTTACAAATTACACGTATGCTTCATAGAGTACAAGTACCATAGACGGAGGTGAGGTTAAAAGAAAGAGTCCTTCTAGTAAACGTTTCAAAAGAATGTGCCTGAATAAGTGCAAGTTAAGATATGTGTCAGTTTAGAAGCGGATTTTATTATTTTTCAAAAGCTTTAACAAAACTTTTAAACTAACACAACCTGTGAACACTTACAGCATTCGTATATGCAAAATAGGGAGAGGCTGAGGTGGTGTTCGGTGTAAAATTTAATATTGTTCACCAAAACAGTATAGCTCAGAATCAAGTGTATTAATTTTAAAAGTGAAAACTTCAGTTGAAAGGTAAGCTAATATTAAAGAAATATTCGTAAATGACATATTAAAGGAATATGAAACTATTGATGTCATATTATTATGAGAATAACATCAAACACTCTTAATCTCTTAATTTACTAATTCTACTGTATAATATTAAATGAATATATTTAAAATCAAATTAGACTTTAATATCGATTTGTATTTTATTATTTACCTAACATATATCACTACACTTTGAAGTATGTTCAATAGGGTGCCATTAATTTTCGAAAGTCGGAAAATTGCCCGCGGCACCCCCCAGATCGGTTCATTTTACTAAAAAAATAATCTGTGTAAAATTTTAGTTCAATTGGATAAGTGGAAATGGTGCCCCAAGAGCCTCAAAGATTGAAAAATAACGATTTTTTCCATAAAATTCATCTTTGATTGCTTATATCTCCGACATATTTAATTTTACATAAAAACTGTCTTCTTAGAAGTTATAGATCTATTTAAAATAAACAATTCACTCATACAAAGTTTTTCTGTATTTCTAATAGTTTTTGAATAAAACAAAAAATAAGTTGAAGTCACTAGATTGCTAGCTTTGAAAGTACTATGAATGTAATTGTCCGCTTCAGCTTTACAAAAAATTTAATATTTCTAAAAAATTTAAAATAAATTCAAGATTTCCAAAATT